GGGGGGGGGATAGGCAAGAATACTAGGATCCAGGATATATTCTATGTAAAGGATGTGCTTGATCCGCGTTTATTCTCCACTAAAACAACGACTTACTGCAGATAAACCTAGCATTCACACGGATAGAATGACACCAATTCCGTGTCGAATCAACGCCAGATATAAGATGAGCTTCAAAATGCGTGGGGATATATAAATATGTGTTTGTTTTTCTGTGACTATAGTCTAATCCTAAGCTCGGTCCATTAACACTCAACTAACTCACTCACAATCGACGTCTTATTGAATGACGAAAACAATGCACACATAACGCATAAATAGCATATTAATAAGCACCTTTGAGGGTGTATCATATGTATACTTAACTGTATTTATTTGGATAACGGATAAGAGCAGATGTTCATTTTAATATCTCTGTTTTATGCGAGCAAATCTCGATTTATCGAGAACACTAAATTTTATGATACCTTCAGGAAAATAGCCGTTTTGCACAGGATCGATCACCTTATGATTTCGTATAGTGCAACTTCATATATTTATATCTCAGGAATCGCTTTGGGACGTACAGAATTTTCAATAGCGATAGAAAATTGTTCAAAAAATTCTCAGACAAGATAGGCAAAACCATGAAAACATTCGAATATTTCGATTCAGACGAACTATTCATCAGATACTTGAAATTCAGGCAATCCTCTTCACATAAACAAAAATTAATCCGCTTTAGCAAAGTCACACTATCAGACGATTCAAGCAGATACTCGCTTCTAACTAAATGCAAACTTGACTGACGAGAAACGGCACTATGAGAAGAAATTATTTTGGGCCGTGGATAAGGAATCGCACGTTGGTATCAACTGAAGAAAACCTGAGCGGAACCATCAAATATTCTCCCCCTTTCTTGTTTTTTTTTNNNGTTGGCAAAGCACTCGCTCACACCAAATCAAATCATTTTTTAAGTGAAAATCTCAACTCAAATCACGCTAAACGCCAGATTATATCAACAACAACACCGCAAACATTTAGGAATCAATCTGATCCGAAAAAATTAAGAAAAGAGAGCGGAACGGAATTTTTTAGCAAGACACTGAAAAATTTGCACAGATAGAAAAACCAACCTTTTGTTGGAAAGATCATCATCTCTGAATAATGATGAATTCATAGAATGAAAATAACGAGAAACAGAAACGTATAAAGAAAGTCACATGCACTCACTCACACTCAAACACACAAACAGCTTTCAAATGCAAATCTAAATCAAATCAACCAAAATGAAAACATTTTAATATCTAAAATTCCGATGAATCAAATCGCATCGAATTCGTTTCGTTTTTAGGCAAAGTACAACAACGAATCGCTGAAAACCAATGAAATAAGCAATGTTCCGCAAAGATTCCAGTAAATGTTCGTCGTTTTTTCTTCACAACATTAGCCTTGCTCCCCTCTCAATTGCTGCTATATGATTCAGTAATCGCTCTCTCTGATCGTAGCCATTCAACACTGAATCAATTCCTCAACGATGATGAAAAAATTACTTGAAACGTGTCTCTATAATGCATTTTAGATATTAATGCAATAACGTATCATAGCAATTTGTACGATACATTATTCTATAATACTGCGTATCTGCATGATAATTACATTGCATGTGCCTGTTCATCTATGATAATAACACGATAATTATATATGTAAGGGAAGAAGGTNCTGCATGATAATTACATTGCATGTGCCTGTTCATCTATGATAATAACAGGGTAATTATATATGTAAGGGAAGAAGATTAGCAAATTCTGCTACTACCCGAATTTACCTCACTTTCAAAAAAAAGAAACTGCAATCTAAATTTGCCTCACTCATCAATCAATCACTTACAAAAAATCATTTCACACAATCACTAAACTCATAAAATTGCTGAACATAGTCAAGTTGAAAGGAACCGCCGTACAGGTGATTCCTCATAGAGCTACTTTTTACAACACCTTAGAAATGTTCATAAATGGAATTTTACGACATAATAAGCACATCAGATCCTCGAAATGAAAGATTTGTGTGAGCTTGACATTCTCTCAGACCATTATTATTCAGTCTGAAGAAACTCATCAACTCATCATAAATACACATGTTTCAACAACGGATTTGCATTCATTGCTGGCGTCGCATAATGTGAAAATAACAAATTTGCTCAAAGAAACGTCGTCAACAAAGAGTGATTCTCAACTCGCTTGAATGAAGAATAACACAAACA